GAACAATAGACCAAGCACTATTATTCCGAGTTTAGGGAGCCGAGATTGGCCCGCGGAACTATTTCATTATTCATTTCCATTATTTATTTCACAATCAATTCAGTTTTTGTTGATGAACAGTGAATACTAAGTCTGTAAAAATGCTGAAAAAATGTAGTCAGGGTTCCATTAAAAAATATAGGAATACTGTGGAGAATCTGGAGGGGAGGGGAGGGGGGGTCAAAGGATTTTACTGAATTATTCGAATTTTACTGTTAAAAAATCACTTGAACTGTAGAAGTCGTAAGTTGCAATGACCTTTCAATGCCTGAAGGTCCTCTCCCCAAAATATTAATTTTTGAAGCTCGATTACTGCTTTTCTTGCATTTCCTGTAGCGATCGAGAAAAAAAACTACCAATTTTAAGGGCATATATTCGGAAACTTTGCATTAAAGTCGTAATTGCACACTTATATTTTAGAACGGTCATGCAGTGAATGGATTTAGAACTGTGTAAAGTTTCCACAATGATAATAATGACTGAACTCGATTCACACACATTTTTGCATGCACAGTCAAGAATTCAAACCCCAAAAATCTGGTGTCTCGCAAGTGGTCCATGAGAGTGGTCCACGAAGGTAGTCCACGGACCAGGTCCACGAAGGTAGTCCACAGACCTGGGGTCCGCGTTTTGTCGTTTCCCTGAAAATTATTTGAGAGTATTAAACTTACAATTACAATGTTATCTATCTGAATCATAAAATTGTTAACCCAAAATATAGAATTGATTATAATATTAGATTATCAGTTCAGTGCATATTTCTTGGTTTATAGCATGTAAATGTTGACTATAAATTAATATTTAACCCATTGGCATTGAGCTGTAATGTGCCCCAGTGCGCCCTACTTTTTTTCACTTGTCTAACGCCAGTTTTGTCACTCATATCTAACCCTGTATATATGTGTGATATATTGTACCTGTTTATGTGATAATGGCATGGCTCGACAGGAGGTTTTAATCCAAGATGGTGTGTTTAATATATAGACGGAATACACCCCGCCTCTCCGCCTGGCTGGGATGATAGAGTGCTTGTATAAGAATTTCTCGTCCTGGCAGATGCAATCCCGGCAACAAATAATGGGATCCTGCCTAGGCCAGAAAGAAGTAGAATAATTCACTTTACCGTAAACAGTTGATAGAGTTCATATTGCAAGCTAGATGAGATGGGGTGTTAACAGGATATCACACTAGGCCGGACATTGCATAAGCTGCATTGTGCCACAACTTTATTGTTTTACTCCTTCTAATGTCAGATGATTTTACCTGTCAGTGCTATCACTCAACAAGTTACTGGAACAAGTAGTACTTATCTGACCAGGGCATTTTTTAAGAATTCGTCAGTGGGGGCATCTACAAAAAGGGACCATACTATACCGAGTGTGGAGACTGCATAGATGGTTTGTTGGTAGCTCTAAAAAGTTTGTGTGGTATTGCATTTACTAGTGGGAGGGTGGTCAATAACCCCAGGGGATAGCTTGTTTAACCTTGTTAGTGAAAACATAAGCTGTTAATTAATGAGGGTTGTGTAGTTGTTACCAAAACTATTTTGTGTTTTTTTTTTCACAAAAGGAAGGAGACACAGCCTTGACTACCTGGCTACAAATGAGGCCCGCTGACATACAGTATCAGGGCTGATCATGACATGGAGCTATTGGCAACATTCGAGAATAGCGAAACTGTAAAAGCCATCATTTACTTCCTGATGTTGTTCTACTGTACCTGCTCGACTTAGACTACCCATCCAAACTCGGCAGTCTGACATGGTAAAGGCTTTTGAAGAAATTGAACAATATTGCTATGTGTGAGAACGTTTACATTTATCTATCAGTAATTACTTTAACCTATTCATGTATAGCTGGTAAATATATTATTTTAAACGTTCTTAATTGTTTTTATATTGTAGGATGACAAGTGACAACAGCAAAAAATCATGCCAAGATTATTATTCTAGTTTCATATTGTCATTTAAGAAAAATATTCTTAAAAGCCATGCACACCGGATCGAACTAGAATAATTTTCTTGGCAGGATTTCAATTCAAGATAATTTTTCTAATTTTGTCCCATAGAAAATAATTCTTGGGAAACTAAGAATTTTTTTCTAGAAATAAGAAAATTTTGCTAGAACGTTTTCTTGAAATAAGAAAAATATTCTTGATAAGAAAATTTTACTTACCCACGGGACAAAATTAGAAAAATATTCTTACCAAGAATTTTGTTCTAACCAAGATTAATTTTCTTATTTTGAGAAAATTTTTTTTGAAATCTGATTCTTACCTAGAATATTTTACTTACCCACGGGACAAGTAAAATTTTCTTAAAACAAGTAATTTTGTGCTTAAAATAAGTAATATTTTCTTAAAACAAGAAATTGATTTTTTGCAGTGCGGGCAGTTCTTCATACGAGGAAGAGGATGTTACGCCTTCTCATAAGAATACAAAGAAAGCCTTTCGCAAGCGGACGACCAGGAGTAAGAAGTTCAGCGAATCTCTGAAGCTTGCCAAAGTAATGAAAATGGCTTTAGTACAGATTCATGATGTCGATCAAACCAAAAAGATATTTGAGATCGATCAACATGGCAAGCAGCGCCTTGTAGAAATTGCAGAAACTGTGTCGTGTAACTGTTCCTTTGCTTCAAAGAAAGACGTCTGTCTACATGTTATATGGGTGTTGATAAACATCCTTAAAGTCAACGTGAATGACAATCTCTTGCACCAGAAATCACACTTGAAGGAAACTGTTCGTCAATTGTTTAGAACTTTGGTAGAGAGCAGTTCTAGTGAAACCAATCCGAGTGTTGACCATTAACAAGCCACAACGCATCTATGCAGTCTTCCCATATAATCTCAAGACCACTACCGCAATCACAGCCTCTCGATTCGAACGTACTACAGTCTGCACGGCTACCGTTGTCAAGTGGTTCTAGCACAAATGCTGTTGCCAACCCAAATCTAAATGGCCAAAGTTATCCAGGTGCTGCGAGACGCTATCCATCTTCCCATACAATTTCGAGATCACCGCAATCAGTACCGCCTTTTGATTCGAATGTACTACAGCCTGCGTGGCTACCATTGACAAGTGATTCTAGCACGAATGTTGTTGCCAACCCAAATCTAAATGGCCAAAGTTATCCAGGTGCTGCGAGACGCTATCCATCTTCCCATACAATTTCGAGATCACCGCAATCAGTACCGCCTTTTGATTCGAATGTACTACAGCCTGCGTGGCTACCATTGACAAGTGATTCTAGCACGAATGTTGTTGCCAACCCAAATCTAAATGGCCAAAGTTATCCAGGTGCTGCGAGACGCTATCCATCTTCCCATACAATTTCGAGATCACCGCAATCAGTACCGCCTTTTGATTCGAATGTACTACAGCCTGCGTGGCTACCATTGACAAGTGATTCTAGCACGAATGTTGTTGCCAACCCAAATCTAAATGGCCAAAGTTATCCAGGTGCTGCGAGACGCTATCCATCTTCCCATACAATTTCGAGATCACCGCAATCAGTACCGCCTTTTGATTCGAATGTACTACAGCCTGCGTGGCTACCATTGACAAGTGATTCTAGCACCAATGTTGTTGCCAACCCAAATCTAAATGGCCAAAGTTATCCAGGTGCTGCGAGACGCTATCCATCTTCCCATACAATTTCGAGACCACCGCAATCAGTACCGCCTTTCGATTCATATGTACTGCAGCCTGCGTGGCTACCATTGACAAGTGATTCTCGTACCAATGTTGTTGCCAACCCAAATCTGAATGGCCAAAGTTGTCCAGATGCTGCCAGACGCTACCCATATTCCCATACAAACTCAAGACAACCGCAATCGAATTTACCTGTACATATTCCTGTACAAATTCTTCACCTGCTGTTATATCTTTAACCAAACCACCATGGCAAAACAATAATCGTTTCATGTTGCATCCTCTCAACAATCACATAAAGAAATGCGCTGGTTGCCCTTTTGAATTTAGAGATCCGCTAGGTCCACTTTTCCTTGGTGGAAAGAGAAAGGGACGTGTACATCAAGGATGGTAAGCAGCATATATCCGCTGAACAGAATCGGTATTATCATTGCAAACTTGGATGCATAAAGCACAGGCATCCATACTTCACGTCATCATTGGTTACAATGTATCCGGATTTGCTGCTGACGCAGTTTCAAATTGATGCTATGTTTACAGAAATTGGGCTGTCGATATAGTTTGACAGCTTATAGCGAACTGAATAGAGTACATGCATGTGTATATGTTAAATTAAATAAGACAACAGGCAGTTGCTTATATATTAATAGATAGTAGAAAGACTACATTGGAAACAAATGATTAGTGATGCACCGATATGGGAATTCACCAATATTCCGATAACACCGATATTTCGATTGAAAGACCGATATTTTGCCGAACCGATATTCTATATCATTTCACAAAATTCAAAGATGATATCACGACAGTTGCACTTTTCAATTTAATTCAATTTAGTTGTTTCTTATTTCTGAAAATGTCAAATGAAATGCTGCAAATGCATGCAATAAACTAGTATACTTATACTACACCAGTGACTGTTTATTGAAAACTTCGATTTTTCGTAATTTTTAGGTGTAGAAAATTAGTTTTGCTATTTAGTTTCCTATTCTGTCTTTTTACTATCTACCTAATATATCTATACGGTTCAATTCGTTGAGTTTACGGTGTTGGGTTTGCACGTTATGTTTCAAACTATCAGTTTTATTTAATTTGGTACTGGGTAGATGGTGTATTTATTGTATCAAAGTTATGTTGAAATTAAATAAGCACATCGCATTGTTATAAAAGTATGTACGTGTCTTTCAAACTATGGCATATTTTTTATTATATAAACATATGTGTTATATAGAGTTTTTGGCAACTGAGAAAAATCGTATTTAAACACGTAAAAAATACGATATAGCCTATTTACGTGTGAAAATATTTTTGCAAGCCAATCAAAAAGCGCATAGGAAATATGTTTGACCAATTTTGTTTATATAATAAACAATGTTGTTTATATAATAAACAGAATAATACATGGGTGCTTGGAAATATTAGATTTTTTCCATGTTGAACATATGATATGTTCAACACTCGAAATAAATATGGTATTTCCGCGCACCCATGTATTATTCTCTCTATATATGTTTCCTACATCGTAGCAACTTTATTAATTTGTATAGGTAATCATGGGATGACGAGTACAATTAGGGATTTATTAATAGTACGAGTGATGTGGAAATTTTGCCAAAATTGGACGAGCCACCGGGGTGAGTCTAATTTGGCAAATGTCCAAACATCACGAGTACTATTACTCCCTAATTGTACGAGGTTGGCGGGGGCCCGGGACAAATTTTTTTTAGGGGCCCCTATTTCAAAATTCTTTTCGGACAAAAAAATCCCCCTCCCCCCGTCAACAACTTTTTAGGTATAAACTTTTTCCGGACGAGTACGTTGCAATTGCTTTCCAGGGACTTTATCTCAATTTTTTATACCAAACTTCGGTACTTAGCCCAGAAAAATAGATATCTTGTCGTTTGCGCAGAAATTTTTAACGCACAAAAATGACTGGGGCCCAACTAAAAATTTTCAGGGGCCCGGCCCAATTTGCCCCCCCCCCCCTCTCGGCGGCCCTGAGGACAACTGTTGTAACATCGCATGATTACTTGTTTATTATTAGCATGACAAAATTGGATACTTCTCAATGTCAACATCATATTCTCTCGCCAGACTTTCAACTAAAATTTGGTGCTCTTGTTCGTATTTACATCTAGTTCCTCTAGGGCAATTTCATTTCACATTTGCGCGGTTTAAAATATCTTTCCGCCATTTTGTTTGTTCTGGGAAAATCATTAATTAATTGTACTGCAGTACAATTATACTGCAGTACAATTAATGAAATAATTGTACTGCTCTCAACCAATCAGCATCCAGTAATTTTGTCATGCTAAAAATAAAATATCTAATAAAATACATTATTATATATTTTAAATAGTGAGTCCTTGATTCGAGTCCTGGCTCGAGTCCTGACTCGAGCAATAGTATATCTCAAAATAAATAGATTTAAATAGCTATTTAATTCCTATTCATACAAAGTTGTGGCGAACTTTGTTCAAAATGGCTAGTAAATAGCTATTTTTAAACTATGTTTACTTTTATTTTTAGAGTTATTGTTAAAATAGCTAATAAATAGCAAAATAATTAGATCTTAACTTCATTAACTAGCTATGTTTATTAATTCCTATTCATAGAAAGTTGTGAGATTTGAGAAAGGGTAAATGTATTTATTTAACTGGTCAAAATTTCCCAGTTAATTTTAAATTTTTTCATGAGTTCATTGAAATTATATTATTATTATTTATAAAAATAGTTATAGTCTTTGTGGAGGTATAGGTATTTTGTCGTTTTGACAAATTCTCACGTTGAGCGCGGTTTGTCAGACTGGTGCCAGAGGAGGGTGGAAGCTCTTCCCAGCATGCATTGCAACTCATTAATATTCACAATCATGATTTTTCACAATGTTAGTTGGAAAAGTTGTGGATATTTATTTCTATATTTCGCCACGGAAAGTTCGTATTTTTGAAGGTAAGTTTTTATAATTGTTTTAAATATGAGTCAAATTAACGATTTTTGCTTTATTTGGTGTTTTAACAACGTTTAGTTGTATGTTAATCGCAATTTGTATTGACCTGTTTTCCGGGTCAATGCACAAGTGTCAAAAGTGGCTTTCAAAACCGCTGGGGACAATTGGGTTTATAAATGAGTAAATTAAATAAAAGACACGCCATCGTATTCAGGAAGAGTTGTTCTTTCTATGAGAAGTTTAAAAAATGAATTGTCCCCATCAAACTGACGAGTAATCGTGGTTTGAAAATGGGGCATTTTCGATATACTATGTTGCCCATCGTGGGAATAGTCGACCGCATGGGAATTATGGCGCGAGGAAAATTACTGTACGAGTCGTTATTATTTTTGTTTTATTTCGAAGCATGCGCATATATGTCGATCGTTGTTGAGTTTAACTGCTGCTTTTAAGTTAAATACACTGTATTTTACCATTATTTTTATAGAATTCGAATATATTTTGTGAAAATGGAATCTGATAATGATGGCAATGTTGTTTATATTGTTGATCTTGAGTATGGGAAAAGTTGAACTAATATGAATTTAATGTTGATTTAGAACTGTTATTGAGCAAACTGTT